TCCTTTACGTTCCCAGTGGAACATAAGACTTCAAGCTAGAGGCTTGAAGTTTCGGTATCAGTGGTATTTACTTCTACGGGATGGGTTTGCTAGCTTTATGCCCGACCATACCTATCTACAAGTTTTATTACTGGCTTAGCGAAGTAAAGGATTGCGTCGACCGGGAATCAAACCCCGAACGGCCTGTGGCGTGGTTGGTGAGCATTCTACCGCTGTGCCATCGGTGCACTGAGTTCGAGTAGAGCACCTTAAATGGTACGATATACTTTTGTTGACACTGTTTGCAACCTGTTATTAGTACAACAACTACTATTTATCTGAGTTAGATATCACCCGTTAGGATGTCTATGTTTCCGATCTTATCGAAGTGTGGAAATATAACTAATACCTGAAGTCTGCCCTTCTTAGTCTTCGCAGGAGTGTATTCGGAATCTTTAGATATTGTGTGATTATCATAGAAAGATTAGTTTGCTTTCTTTTAAATTAGAATGACCAACCATATGCTTTAATCCTATGGAACTTTCTTGGAACACCGTACCTTAGCTAATAAATTATTCAGTATAGTCAATAGTTCATCACCACCAACAGTAAATACTGGCAGTCATACCACCGCTTCACCTTGTCCTACTTTAGAGACAGGGAATTAGTATTAGCACTGAGATGAAAACAAGAAAGTGAAGATGTACTTGTGTGCTTATTGAAGTTTTTGGCTGCTCACATACCATGGAAGGTAAAAACTTTTTGGAGTACCTGAAAGAGGAGAAATATCAGTTTACCATGATTGCTCACCTCGGGAGAAAACCACTTAAGGCCTATCATATACTGTATCTTTGCTGCGGTAGGCTTATGTACGGAAGAGCTAAATATCGTTGGAGTTGCACAACTTTCAGTGTCGTCCGCTTCCACAAAGCGAAAAGACATTGTAGCTAACTTGCTGATCGCACGAAGGAAGCACCTTATTGCTGCTATCCCTCTGTCCGTTAGCAATATACCTGCCCTCAGGTTCCCACCAAAGAGCGAACAAGTTATCGTATGGTGGTAAGTGCTTTCAGTCTAATCACTCCCCAACTGACACCTCTGGCATGGTTGTACCAGCAAGAGCATTCATTATAGTTAATATAGCTCGTTGGGTCATTGTGACATTAGAGCCCCAATACGCCTTCAGGCTAGCAGCTGTAGATCATCAAGCATTAGTTCGCTGAAAATAAGCGTCATATACCAATGCAGGTGGCTCAACAGGCTCATTCAGTCTTCTTGTAAGGTCTTCTTGAAACTCTTTTCATCGTTATCATTTCGAATTTATTTTCCTTGTACACCTTTCGAAAGTTTGAGGAACACTGAATGTAATTCCATGTTAGATAAGTTCATTTCAAATATAATACATTGATGCAGTATTAATAACTGGATCATGTTTCGAGCAGAATTTATTGCTCATAATCACACCAGTTAGTCACACGGCTTCATGATTCGCCTTATATATGAATTTCTCTCACTCACTCACACACACACACTCTCTCTCTTCCCCTTGTTGTTTGTTGCCACTTTCTATATCTCCGGTGTAGGAGTTGCGTCATTTCGTCTGCACGTGTGCGGTGTTGAATCGATAAACAGAGAGATCCAGTGAATAACCTCTCTCTCCACCTAACTGTATTACTCCTTAATATTTTCACCTGTCCCACCCTATTGTGTGATTACTTGCAAGTGAATGCAATGCAATGACTGAGCTTTATTCTTAGTTATTTAACTTAGTGAATAACTACCCACCAGAATTTATTCAGAAATATATGAAGAACACCAGAAAAACTAAGACTAGTAATAAAAGTGACAAAAATAATGTAGAATTCAAAGCCTCTGGAGTACTACCGTATAAAAAAGAAACGTCAGAGGCCCCTAGGTATGATTCTTAATGACGCTGGGATTGTGGCGGCATTTAAATCGACCAACTGACGAACTCTCAGAAATACACTTTGTCAGCTCAAGGACCCAATAGATCCAGTTAAGAAAAATAATATAATTTACCAAATACCACGTGATGACTGTGAGGACGATTGCATGGGTCAGATCGTAGTGAACTAGATTATTATAACATAGAAATTTAGCTAGACCTAGAATGATTGATTCTCCTAATTTATATAACCTAGTAAAAAGCTCAACCACTGCATTGCATTCACTTGCAAGTAATCACACAATAGGGTGGGACAGGTGAAAATATTAAGGAGTAATACAATTAGGTGGAGAGAGAGGTTATTCACTGGATCTCTCTGTTAATCGATTCAACACCGCACACGTGCAGACGAAATGACGCAACTCCTACACCGGAGATATAGAAAGTGGCAACAAACAACAAGGGGAAGAGAGAGAGTGTGTGTGTGTGAGTGAGTGAGAGAAATTCATATATAAGGCGAATCATGAAGCCGTGTGACTAACTGGTGTGATTATGAGCAATAAATTCTGCTCGAAACATGATCCAGTTATTAATACTGCATCAATGTATTATATTTGAAATGAACTTATCTAACATGGAATTACATTCTACCACAGTGTCCAAGTTCGATGCTTACATTAACACTGAATGTAATCTCACTTCCTGCTTATAGTTTTTTCATTCTATCTTTAATAGACAGTTGTAACTACTTGAAATTGTTCGGCATTATATAGGTGAAGAAACAAATTAGTATATTGCCGCAAGTAGTACGTTAAAGCCAATGTTCACTAGGTGATTATTAAGCATTCAATTTCTTTTCATACAAACTGCTTTCAGTTGTCAGATTTAAATCATATTATTAGAAAACAGTGTTTCATTAGATATGGGATCCCTAAGGGATCAGGAAATTTCTATCTGCATTTCATGTGATTTAACTGATCGTATATCCTGTGTCCCTTTATAATCGTTATGATGCTGTATTGAAATATTTACTTAAGGAATGAAGTCGATATTCTTGTTCTAGAATTAATCCAATTCTCAATTACATACGTATTCGCTACAAGTTGAAAAATCGCTTACTTGTTACCACTTTTATCTGGTAATACTTTGTGATATGATCAGTTAGAATTGGTTATATAGTCGCAGGTTGAAGATTATTTGTTAAGACATTTATTCGTAATGAAGCAAATTAAACTCTCAAACCGGCTCAGTCATCGTTCATTAAGACAACGGCTAGTATTATAAAGTATTCATACATTAACCTAGCTATCGAAGTTTACTTAACCCTGTTAAATTTCACTATGAACTACGATCTTAGTAACTGAGATCAATCATTGAGCGTTTGCTACAAGAATAAAAACATGCCATAGAAATGTGAAAGGAAAAGAGAATAAAATTAATTAAGGTGAGAAAAAGAAATCAGTGTTCATGGAAAATCTTGTCTAACAATTTTTTTTAGTGAAACTACAAGAGTTTGATGAGTGAGTAAGTAACTTTCAACACAAATCAATAACCAGTACTAATCATTGTAACTGTCAATGTGCATTAATTGAGACAGCAGTGTGGATGCTAAGTATTATGCTTTGGTGAGGGCAGTTCACTTATAAAAAGGTCTGGGGATTCTTTCATCTAAAGACAATGATATAACCCATGTTTTGTGTTCTCTGAGCTAGTTGATTTGATTACGAAGCTTTCGTTGTCCTTCTAGGAAACATCTTCAGCGCAGGTTTTAATATGAAATGAACTCATTCGGATTCTCCATGAATGATATCATTGTATCTCCAGACAACCATTGTCGTGATTGTTTGTTAATTTATACCTCTATTAGTCATATTTTTATTGACTTGGAATTTCAACTTTCTTGTCATGTGATTTAATTTTTATTAGTTGGTAAATTTGGAGTATAGTAATGTTTGTTAATCGCGACTATGGCACAGCGGTAGAATGCTCGCCAACCACGCCACAGGCCGTTCGGGGTTTGATTCCCGGCCAACGCCCTCCTTTACCTCGCTAAGCCAGCAATAAGACTGGTAGAGAGGAGAGGCTGGGCATGAGGCTAGTAACCCCATCCCGTAGAAGTAAATACCACTGCTACTGAAACTTCAACCTTGGAGCCCTATGTTCCACTGGGAACGTAAAGGAATAAAATAATAATAATTCAATAAATAATCGCTAATTCATTCGAGCACCAGGCTTCTAGAAATTCCCTGGTATTTTCGGTGTTTCCTCTACTGAAAATTTCCACATTCTCCCAACCAAATTGGTGTTTACATGAATCGATATAAAAGGATACATATTGTGTCTTTTGACAACTAATTTATGTTTTTTGGATTCGAATTTGAAGTGGATGCCCATTTTGAGAATTCAAATAGGTTTACTTCATACTAAAACCTGCGCTGGAGATGTTGTCTAGGAGGACAACGAAAACTTCTCACAATTGAACCAACCAGCTCAGAGAACACACCTGAGCTACAAATCTTCTGTGTTGTTTGAGTTTCTCTATATTGTAAATAGCCCACAGATAAATTATATCGTACCTGCAAATACCTCTTGCAGGTACTTAAATGCTCTTGAATGAGAAGAGATAATATTTTTTAGAAAATCTTTTCAGTAATATCTGTTCTTTCTATGCCTGGTGTTTATTTGCAAACCCATGTGTGTTTTTTATCAGTTATCGTGTAACAACAGAAGACAAGGGACGGCAACAGATCGTTTTATTACGGAAATCAGCACGTATTTATATATATTTCATGTACATTATTATAGCTTATTCAAGCAGATAAACACAGACTTCTGATTGGTTGTTTCTGGTTTCTCGGAAAGTTAAGTCATATATCTGCGAATCTTATTCGCCCATGTTAAGTCTGTTGTGATTGGTTTTTGAATCAGCCTTGTTCATATTTTCTCACGGCCAATATTAGTGACCTAGACATTGACGTAGATTAATGTCTACCAATTGGCTAGCAGCCTGCTCTCACCACAATCGGTTTAATATTGTAACGAATAAATTTTAAAAAACATTAATTTTATACATTGTATGATCATGACTAATTGTTCGTTTGTTTTCTTTTTCTAGATACGATCATCAGTCATACTCAACTACGTTTCAGTAATCTTCTAATTGTGTATGCGATCATTGTACTTTACCACATCTTGTATACATTATACTACTACTACCACAGCTACACTAGCAGTAGTAGTAGTATTAATGCTACCATGGCTTACCACATAGTAATTCATTTTGAAATAAAAGCTCAATTGTCTTTTCCTCCCCCGCCTGTTTTTTATTTCTTTTCATTGAATCCATTGTCTTTCTTTTTTTGTTCCAGTTGTGTATTATATTTATACATCTACATATATTACTTATATTGTTACTTCTCTACTGTCTCATGTTGCAATCCTGTTGTAATTGTGAGTCTGTTTTTGTCTTTTGTTATCTTTTTAATGATGTGTTGTGTATGTGCGCACGTACCGCTCACACTAATAGTTTATCTTTCCTACATTAGTTTCAGAGTTACCAATGCGTCTGTGTAATCTCTCAGTAAAATGTGTAGTTTATTCACCTTTTCTTCCCTTCTACTCTCTGGTGTAATTACTCATGTTTAAAAAGGGCGCACTCTTTAATTCCGTTTTGTTTTATTTTACTGTTTGTTTTGCTTTTTCTTTCCTTTGTCATTCTATTTATTTTTTTTATCGCTTATCCATTCAGTCCTTGTTATGTGTAATACATATATTGCCAATGGAGAAAAGAGTAGACAGTTGAAATGCACAGCAGACTTTTTATTCTTTCTGTGTATTTACTTACTCGTATACATTTATATATGCATGTTTTATTGCACACGTATGAATAATATAGTATCACTCTGATCCCCTATGTTTTATTCTCCTTCTTTCTTTTTATGAGTTGGTTTGTTCATTGTTATCCCATAATATTTTGTACATTTGTTTTTTGTGTGTGTGTGTGTGTGGCCAATTGTCCTCCTGATGTCCCCTTTCCCCTCTTGTATGCTGTCCTTATCACTACTACTCTGACCGCCAAAAATACCCCCCCCAGCTGTTTTATTTCTCCTTTGCATATCTCTCTTTAATTTGTTTTGTTCTTTGAAAGTAAATTACTGCACATATTATACACCACATGTATGTATAGTAAGTAAAAACATATACACAATATATTTATATTACCAATTAATATACACGTATTTTTCTTATGGAATGTAATATAATATAGAGGGGCTACTTCACTTATCATTGGTTTAATTGGGAGGAGGGGTTGGCATCCCTAAATGTGTAACGGGAGAAGAAGACATGAGACATAAGCCAGCCAGCCACGTAGGAAGGTGTAGATTTCCTGACTGGTTGGGGTCCTCAGGATGGTAAAAACCAATGGGTGGAAACTATTGGTGATATGGCTCAAAATCGTTTTCAATGGCTGGCTCAGATGCATCCACTCCTTGTGACTTATGATTTCCAATGAAACTGTTTTGTTCTTCGTTATTACTCTTCCTTTGTCTCACACCTCTGTTTACTGTCTCTACTATGCATTTCTTCTGCTTTCTTCTCTTGCTTTGTGTGCTACAAGGAATGGAGTGTGGCGACTTGGACTGGTGCACATATGTGCAAAGTTCTATGTCGAAAACAGATAGACAGATTGGTCGTTGATTTCCTGGAGGTTAAACCTTGAGATTATCTCTTAACCACAACGGAAGCTAAATCCATATTTGAGGAGAAAAATAATTCTACTTCTGTAGCCACTGACTTATAATGTAGTTTTTTTATATTTTGGTTACTTCTTATGAATTTGCATCCATGTACTATTGATAAATCTTGTCAGTAGTACATGCCTCAAATGTAATCATATACGTGCATTTAGTAGGTGTAATCTGCCTTCTGCTGTTTCATATTTGTAAGGTTATTATTTAAGTTACAACCAGCCTTGACATTGCTTCTAGATATGGTGCTTGTTAGAGAATAGATTTCAAGATACTCTCTTTGGGACACGTCTGACTTCGTTGACAGTATCAAAGATGTGAAAATGCCCGACAACCGCACGATATCACTCAATGGTGAATTTCTTTTCACAAATTTCCCCATTACGGAAACGATTTGTTTCTTATGCAAGTAATTGGAAGACAACAACTTGAATATCGAAATACCCACACCCAAGTTAAAAGAACTTCTACTTAGATGCACTTTGAACGTCCAGTTCACACTCACTGGTACTGTTTATAGACAGTAAGATGGTGTGGCCATAGGTTCATCTTTAGGCCCGTTACTTGCAGGCATTTTCATGGTAAGTTAGGAAAAATGGTCCATTCAAACCAACCGTCGACATTTTCTTTGTTTACAAAAATTACTTTGATGATACTTTTTCTCTTCATCTGAAATGAAGTTTTCAGCGGATGATTGATAAAATCACACTAGTTTGTGACTACCGCTATGGGCATTGTCTAACACAACATGAACTAAAGAATGACTAAATAGCCAAGGCACCTCACCGTCCACTTATTTCCTTCACAAAAATAATGTCAAAGAAATGCATTTGATTGACCAATGTTAGATTTTCTGATAAGATATTTAACCAAATCTCTCAACTATAGAAATTGTTGTTGAATAGTATCTAGGATACTTTTAGATTAATGTTCTGATGTTGATGCAACGAGTAGTGATGAGAGGTGAAATGGAAAGCTGACTGAAATTCTTCTGTAATTTGTATTTTCATTTCATCCTCAGTCATCGTTACATACATACAGATATTATTTCGTATGCTCAGTTATTGCGTAACAATGTGAGTTCGTAATCATAGAGTGTCAGTGGAAAAATGTGCCATCAGATATTTTTGAGGGTGGGGAGGGGGGAATCTCTGTTAAAAGAAGAGATGTTCAGTGAAGAGTTACTATTTTCACATACATCATTCACAACCTTTTTTATTCCTTCACGTTCCCCAGTGGAACATATGGCACCTTCAAGCTAGAGGCTTAAAGTTCCTGTAGCGGTGGTGATTATTTTTACAGGATGGGGTTGCTAGCCACCTCATGCCCAAACTTTCCTCTTTACCAGTCTGATTGCTAGCTTAGTGAGGTAAAGAAGTGCGTCGGTAGCCGGGGATTGAACCCCGAACCATATGCATGGTCGGCGAGCGTTCTAACCTCTGTGCCACCGAAACACTCTCAAGCTGTACAGTCGCATATTAATATAGTACACTTCCTTGGCATCAAAAAGAGTGTTTCTCAAGATGCGTCACTAAAATCGTAGGCTTTATATGACAATTACGAAACATACAAAACCTTAATCAGGTAGAAACTAACATAGAATTCAACAAGCAAATTGAGTGACGTAATACAGTTGACAGTATTGAGTAGAGCTCAACTAAAATTGAAAGAGGGTCAAGTGAAGTTCAGTGTCATAAGAAGTAGAAATGTAGTAATGAGAAGGGAGAAAAAGAATTAAATTAGAAATCTAGGATTCATGAAAAAATACCGTACCAAATGTCACAACAAATTAGGCCCATTGTACGTATAGTGACCGAGTGAACATCCGTATTCAGAGTTCAGGATTTAACATGTGAATTACTATAGCTTGCACGCTTTGATTCGTACTTCTTTTGCAGGATTTCCGCCTACTCTGAAGTTGACTTGTGGACTGTCTAGGTGTTCTAGAATAGAGCTTTTGGGTGATTGGTTTTCCTTCTCTGTGAAGTCGTGATGGTAAATTTTGATTATACAAAATCTTGAATACGGCCAACATATCTAGCTCCATAGGAGCAAGTGTGTCGATGAATACACGCTGCTAAAGTCAGCAGTGGTAACTTATCCTTCATATGAATCATTGGATTTGTGAAGGAAGGAGGAAATTCGAAGTTCAACTGCGAAGACAGTTTTCTCCAATGAACGGGATAAACAGTTTCGTAGTATTTCTGCCTATGAGTCTCCATTGAATTGCAGATTCAGATAGAAAAGTTCTTGGGAAATGGTTCTACGTGGTTTTGGTGGTGTAGGCCTCATGGAATCCCTATTAGTTTATTTTTACAATATTGCCTATTTTTAAAATCGAATGGAGATTATAATTCTCTTATAATGTAATTTGTAAATGATATTTTTCTTAAGATTCAATGTGTGGGCGTTTGTTACTTCCTGGCTGCCTGATATTTCTCTTTTGAATCTCTTCTCTTGCTTTGTGTGCTAAGTGAAGTGTGGCAATTTGAACTGCTGCAAAGTTCTACGTTGAAATCAGTCAGTCAGTTTTCTGTCAACTCATAACTGGGATAAAACAAAATATAATAAATACTGACACTTCATTTTGATAATATGTTTCTTTTTCGGAAAAATAGCTTTGCAAAAATAGTTCTATTATAATATTCATCTGGAGTTAATTATTCTGTACATTTTTTTTCTCAGAAATGGCTTCCATATAACTGCTCAACACGTCGTTGAAATCTTACTTCTTTGCTGTGTAATTGTCTTCCAACACAAAATCTTCATGCATAAATTTTCAAACACATTTGTAATAGAAACTCAGACAGCTTTTCTTGCATTCTACAAGTAGCTGTATTGCATATCCCCGCTAATTGTAGCGTCGTACCCCGCTGCTATAGTGCTTTGTATGCATTTTGAATGAAACTTTGCATTCAGAAATTTCCTTCTACCTTTCATATTATTGCTGGCATTGTATTCTTGAGCTGCGTTACTTTTACTGTACATTCATCAGAAAATGTCGCTTGATACTAATATCCGCTTAATGTAGTAGATCAAATGGAGACAGTGAGTTCAAAGTGTTATGTACTGGTCGAGAATTTAATAGTCCTGACGCAAGAAAGACGGAAATCAGAAGACCACTAGGTTTGCGATGATACTTGTATTTTCCAAACACAAGGACAATCAATATGTCACACAAGTGTGTGAGAGCAAAATATGAATGTCCGAACAAGTGTGTGAGCGAATATTCAAAATGAACAAATCAATAGACAGTCTTAACATGACTGGCTAATTATAATGGAATATCGATCCATATATACATAGCAAAATATATCAGACTGTCAAACAAACACACATATTATATGGATACATATCACAAAGGTTAGACGTATATTATTGATTTTTACAAGTTGATCACGGATTGATATCAGTTAGAGAACCAGGGAGTACTGCCAGACAGTTGTTTCATCCTAGATTAGGAATCATCGGCAGTACGCATCCACTGGGGTTTGAGCTCAGGACCTTGCGGTTACAAGGCAAGCTCGTATACCATTCAGCCATTGGGATCCGATTCAATGATCAGCCCATGAATTCTAACTTCTACCAATTCGTGATTTACCGCGACACCAACCAATGTCGTCGGTTAGACATCCATCCTCACACTTGACTGAATGGACCTCACTGATCACAACTTCCGACTAGAACTCCAGGAAACTCTTTCCTGCAGCAAGTCACTAGCGAGCATCAGATTAATTTTCTATAGTTGGTTTGTAAGGATTAGTTTTGTTTTTACGAGTTGATCACCCAAAATGATACCGGCATATTTTGGCCTATTTACTGGAACGCCCTAATACTCAGTGGTTAAAGCAGCTGGGGCCACTTCAAAAAAGGGATATGCCATATAATGGCGCCTACTGTACTCATTTGGGTATACAAGTGTAGGAATTTGAAAGTAATATTTGATATTGAAAGATAGTTGCATCCAGAGTATGCAGAAGTTACATTTACAGCTAACAACCATTTCATTTAGGTTAAGAGTAATACTCGTCGTTATGTTAGTAATCACATTCCCTGCAAGCATGCATTTTAGCCGTTCTTTTATGCTGCTGAAGGTTTACATTTCAGAATGAATTTAACACCAGTGACAACACCAAGGTTGTTTGCTGTATTGGCCAATCTGAGATACATACATCTCTTATGTTTGGCACATTATAGGCTAGGGAAGCAAAAAATACTTCCATTGCTAAAGTTTTTGAAATAATGTCAACATTTCGCTACATTGATGTTAGATAGTCGGAGGCAATCGGCAGCAATCCTTGGACCTAAGTTTCGTGCTAGTTACCACTCACCAGTCAGCAAGACGTATCTGCAACCACGAAGGAACTCATATCCCTTCTGAGGTTCGAACCCGCGTCACCCAGTGCCTCCTTCAGTCAAAGATGTTTCCACTGAACTATTCGGGCTCGCAATTGACTTCCTGTAGGAGTGTATTGGATACTTTCATTGGACACTAGAAACTAGTGTAATGTGTCTAGTTTTTTGTTTCGTGCAAACTGAACTCTATCAGTCAAGTTTGCAGTGTGGCCATCTTTCTAGGTAGCTCGGCATCACGGTGCACTTTGA